ATGCGCAAACATCGGAATTTGAAACAAATATCGGAATTTGCACCGCAAATCGGCTATGCCGAATGTCATCTGATATGCAGCCGATTATCGATCATATCCGAAATCAGAATTTTGCACCGCAAATCAGCTATGCCGAATGTCAGCCGATTATCGATCATATCCAAAATTTATCCGAAATTTGGCCGAAATTTGGCCGATTTGCCTTACTTCTGATTTGCCTTATTTCGACTAGTGAATATATGGTCGTAATTTTCCATTTTACATTCAAAAATATTACTAATTAACACTTTTATATACAGATAGATATTTAACATTTATTATAAAATAAATTATACAGAAACCCATTAAACAAAAGTATGAGATATATAATGAGAATCATAAACTTCGTAGCCACGCTCAATTAAAGCAATGTATTACTAAACCTACGCTAAAGATAACTTTAGCAAGGCATTCTTTTGTGAAATAAAAGAAATTTCATACACTTTTCCAGCTGGTGGGATAGCTTATGATCTCTAATCTCAAGTCAATTTATGCAAGAAATAATAACTAATGCTAACTAAATATCAAAATAATTTATTATATTTGCTGCGGTTAAGTTGAACATGATCCAAGCATCAAAAACATAATCGCAGAACATTTTGGTGGATTTGACTGTTTATTATTTTGAAGTGTATAAAAGAAATTGCAAAGAAAATTAAAAAAGAAATAGTTTATTCATTGATTAAAAATAGTTTACCACGTTAATTAAAAAAGAAATAGTTTATTCATTGATTAAAAATAATTTAACGAGTTAGAGAATATGCCCTATTTATAATAATTAATGTCACGTGTATCACGTGATATAATAAGATAACTGATAGGCACAGTTCAACGATAATCTTTTTTTGTTAAAGAAAAAAGAAAAGAAGCTAACTTTTTTTCTCTCGTTCTACCTTCTCCATTCCTTTTTCTTAATCTTTCCTTTCCTTCCCTCTCATATTTATCTTTCATACTCTCTTTCCATAAACAACAATATTACCAACGGCTTGAAATTAAGAGGGCTGAACATTCTGTGAATGGTGCTCTCTTAGGTGGGTTTTTTATTTTTATCAATTTTGATTTTTTTTTTCGCTTTATATATTAATTTTCTTTCTTTTTTTTATAAATTTGTCTTCATTTCAGCCTTTATTTGGATGTACTAATATAGTAGTTAGCAAAACAAGCAACCTTTATTATTCATACAAAAAGAAAATTATTAATAGTAGAGAAACAAAGAATATGAAGTACTTCAAGCTACTTTCATATTAATTAGCTTTAAAGGGTTTTTGAGAAAATTTTTAATGATATTAAACGGGTGCTCATAATAATATTTCCAAAATATTATATTTATTATCCTTGTGGGAATTTGGTAAGGGTGCTAAAAAATTTTATTTAGCCATTTGTATCATCTTTGATTAAAAATCTGTATAAAGAATTGATTTTGGATTAGATAAATCAATTATAATATTCATCAAAAATAAAAATATAAGACTTACTTTGTAAAATCAAAAATTTCTACTGTATTATTATCAATATTATCAAGTTTTGGGATATTTTTTGTAAAAGGGTTAAGTAACCGAGATTTATAAGTAGCTTGTGGATGAGCCAGAGTAGTACTTTCATCAAAAGAAGCAGGATGTGATCTTCTGTATTCTTCTGCTTCTTCAAATTGTTTTTGAATTTCAAAATGTTTTTGTTCTTTTTCAAACCCCATAACTACTTCAAAGATCGATGCATTATACCAATATGAGTATACAAATAATTCAATTAATTTTTCAATTTCAGCTGCTTTTGGTCTATTATTCGGATTTGAATCCCAACACTGTTTCATTAAACCAATATAACATTTAGGTGCTTCTGGCTCATTAATTTCAGGCCTAATTCCACTGCAGATATTTAATACTAATAACTCATCATGTGCACAATTGAAAAAGGGTTCTTTTCCAGTTGCCACAAAATACATAATCATACCAAAACTATATATATCTGCTTCTTGAGTATAAAGTTTCCCTTTTAATACTTCAGGAGATACATAAGGCATAACTCCATAAATATTACTTTGATCATTATTATTAACATCTCCACATAATCCCATATCTGAAATATATAATATACTTCTAATTGCACTATTTGCTAATATATTTCCTGTATGAAAATCACGGTGAACCATCTTTTTTTGATGAATTTCTTTAAGACCTATAATAATATGAAACAGCATTAATATTTTGCTGGACCAGCTAAGGTTTCCATAATATTTGTTTATCAAATTATTTAAATTTCCGCCTTTTGCATAGTCAAGAACTATAATGTATTCCTTTGTATCTGGATTTTGAGATATTCCATATATTTTAAGTATTCCAGTTTGATTTTCAATTGAATATGATTTAACCTATTAAAATATAAAAGAAAGTAATTATTAAAAATATATAACTAAATTAAATTTACAGATAAATCCGTACCTCATTAAGAAATTCACTTGTGATGATATGTTGGGAATTATATAAACATTTTAATGCAACTTTTTTATCTTGATTTCTCGTATATTTATGATTTATTGTATTATATTGTAATGGGCCATCCTTCCATATTGCTAAATATACTTTAGCAAAACCACCTTCACCTATTTCTTTAATATTGGTAAACTGATTATATGGTACCCATTCAAATACTATGTCATTAAAAGAATTAATTTTCGAATGCATTTCCTGAATTAAATTATTAATTATTTCATATTCACTGGTCCAGTTCATAGAACTTTTTCTTGATAAATCATTAATTTGACATAGTTTGCACCATTTATAGAGATTATCTGCAAATCTTTTACATTTTTCACAATAATATTTATTTGGAAAAACTATAATATAATCTCTTGTATTAGAATTTTGAGATATACCATATATTTCATGTTCAATACTATTAACCTATTAATTAAAGAAGGTTATTATTATTATATTAAAGTATTAATATTCAAGTATAATTTAAAAAGAAAATTTATACCTCATTCAGAAATTTATCAGTAGTAATATTTTGCGAATTATATAATTTTAAATTGACTTTTATACTCTTTTTTCTTGCATATTGGTATTCATCATCATTATGAATCAATGGACCATCGTTCCATATTGCTGAATATATTGTAACAAATTCATCTTTTCCTAACTCTTTAATATTATTAAACCGATTATATGGTATCCATTCAACTATAATATCATGTGATACACTTATTTTTAATTGCTTTTCCTGAATTAAATTATCAATTTTTTCATTTCCACTGGTCCAATTTTTTTCTAAATCATTAATTTGACATGGTTTACACCATTTATAATGTTCAATTGTAAATTTCTTATTACACTTATCACAATATACATCTTCAAGAACTAAAATATAATCTTTTGTTTCTGTATTTTGAGATATTCCATGTAAATACTTCCCATTAAAATATGTTTTAACCTATTAAAATATAAAAAAATTATTATCATTACACTTTGCTAAATATTTATATATAGTGAAATATTGATGAAATAAATGCATACCTCATTTAGAAATTCATCAGTAATATTTTGAGAGTTATATAATTTTAAATTGACTTTTGTCTTCTGTTTTCTTGAATATTCATGTTCCTTTTTGTCATATTTCAATGGACCATCCTTCCATATTGCTGAATACATTGTAGAAAATTCATCTTTTCCTAATTCTTTAATATAATTGAACTGATTATATGTTATCCATTCAATCGTATTATCACTAGTGTTAATAATTTCTAATTGCATTTCCTGAATTAAATTATCAATTTTTTCATTTCCACTAGTCCAGTTTGTAAAATTATTTTTTAGATTATTTATCTGGCACGGTTTGCACCATTTATAATATGTATCTAAACATTTACTAACACATTTATCACAATACATATCTTGAAGAATTATAATATAATCCTTATCTGGATTTTGAGATATTCCATATAAGTGGTTATTCTCAAAATGTGCCTTAACCTATTGAAACATAAAATTTTATTATAAAATAATTTATAAATTAAATTAAAGACATTCATACCTTATTCAGAAATTCACTGGTAATATTATGTGAGTTATATAATTTTAAATTGACTTTTGTACTCTGTCTTATATATTCATATTTATTTTCATCATATTTTAATGGACCATCCTTCCATATTGCTGAATATATTGTAGCAAATTCTTCTTTTCCTAACTCTTTAATATCATTAAACTGATCATATGGTATCCATTCAACTATAGCATCATGATAATAATCGATTTCTAATCTTTCTAATTGCATTTCCTGAATTGAATTATCAATTTTTTCATTTCCGCTAGTCCAATTTATAAAATTTTTTTCTAAATCATTTATCTGACATGATTTACACCATAAATTTAGTTTATTTATAAAACATTCGCCACATTTATTACAATATTTATTTCGAAGAACTAAAATATAATCTTTTGTGTTTGAATTTTGCGATAAACCATATAGACCATCACAAGTCTTAACCTATCAAAATAAAGAAATTTATTATTATATTTATAATTTTATTATTATGCAGCATATTAGAATCATGCCGATCTTGATGTACCGTTATTTTTACCAGTAAAAAGTGTGGGATAAAAATATTGGTTATACACATTAATTATCTAAAAAATTATACTTTTATATAAAAACTGTGACCGATATTTTTATCCCATCCAATAACTATATTTAAAGTATTTAAATTAAATAGAATAATTCATACCTCATTTTGAAATTCATCAGTAATATTTTGAGAGTTGTGTAAACATTTTAAATTGATTCTTGTATCCTGGTTCCTTGAATAATCATATTTATTTTTGTCATATTCTAATGGACCATCTTTCCATATTGCTGAATAAATTGTAAAACATTCATCTTTATCCAACTCTTTAATATCATTAAACTGATCATATGATATCCATTCGATTATGTAATCATATTGATTAAAAATTTTTAATTGCATTTCTTGAATTAAATTGTCAATTTTTTCATTTCCACTGGTCCAATTTGCAAAATCATTTTTTAGGTTATTTATCTGACATGATTTGCACCATTCAAAAGGTAAATATTTACCACATCTTTCACATATCATAGTCAAAATAATATGGTTTATACTATTTTAAAATTTTTCAACGTTTACAAAAATGAAAATTTCAGAACGTCAACAAGGTTTCATACATTGTGCCACAAGCCCTTTATGGCCTTATTCGTTTCATACGTTGTGTAACATTTAAATATTGTTGCATCAATCATCATCGTGACACTGGCGTGACTATTAATTTTATTTAACTTATAATCAATGTGTACATCGGGCATTTATACAAAAAAAAAATCAGTTCAAAATTACTTGATACTATATCAACTTTTAAAGTTGATAAAAGGTTTTAAAGTTGTTTAATTTAAATCTCTCATATTCAGGTTAATTTTACAAGAATAAATATTAATTTGTATTTTATCAAAAGTTTTAATAAAATTATAATTAACGTTTCATTAAAATTATATAATTTTCATATAAGAGATATAACGCCATTTTTTTTTAAGTGTAACCCTATAAAAAATTTTATCGTAAAAATGAGCCTTTCACGGATCCATTCACGGAAAATGCGATAAATTCCGTGATATAAGAGATGAATATAATAAACGGATAGACTTATTTTGATTTGTTTGTTACACATAAATTAGTTAACATTCGAGAAGGTATTACATAATTTAATTAGAAATCTAAACGTGATCAGTGTGACAGCGACAAAAGCTTATAGTTACACAAGTAATTGAGTATACCATTTTTTTTTTGCCTTTATTCAAATAAGATATTTACAATATATAATTTATAAAAAAAGCACTACCGTCACTCAGTACTATCCGGAACTTCACAGGGACTGACTATATTACAGAAACTTTAAGTATTCCGTCATGCCCATTGGAGATAAAGCCCCGAGCACATCGTCATGATCATTACCCCCCGGATACCGTTCACTTGTTGCTCGCAGAACGCTAGGCGAATTTAACAATATAAAAAAAAAAATTTTTAACAACTACTTAAACCGTACTAGGGAAAAGCAAGATTACCAGAAAGCCCTAACAATATTGCTACACTAAAACTTAGTACAATTTATCGAGACAGATTAATCCCCTCCATACTATACCCAATGAAACCTACCCATCAACCCGTCAATTATCTTAATGAGCGTGGACGAAGCACTGGTCGGCCACTTGTATCACTCCCAATGTTTATTTCAAGGCAATAAATTTGATTGATACCTGTGCTTAAGATCTTCTTGCCTTTTACCTCTTTAAAGGGACATTTAACATATGCACCAAAATGACTGCGCTAAACAACCCAAGAAAAAACCAAAGAAAAAAACACCAAATTACCTTAATCACTTCGAGTTTTCCCGCCCTTTTACCGCAAAACTCGTTTCACCCTTCCTCCTTCAATTAAACTTCCACCTTCTCTCATCCAAACCTAGTGATTAAGAGTAACATGCATAATATAAGTAAAAATTTAATTAAAATGTCCTATGTATTTTAGAGATTGGAACTGATTAACATTGATTGATTAATTAGCTGATTTAAAGACAATAAACCGGTTATGAGCAAAACAAACTGATACAATTTATGGTAAAAAAAAATTTATTTTTTTTCAATACTGTAATAGATTAATTAATCGGTTAAGATTCTCAGTAAATCAGTTTTTGAACCGGAATCACATGTTATATCATCTCGTATCCAAGCCTATTACTTCAGAGCGCTGACTGTTAGATTTATGTTTAAGATTAGGAAAAGAATGTTTTATTTATTATTTTAATTTAATATATAGTACATTGACTAGTACATTTACCTGTATCGTAACGCAGTTAATATAATTTCCTGTTAACATTCTACAAGATTTTTCCTGTTATCATAAAATCAAATATTCATTAATTGTTCTTTGTAAATTAAAAATAAAAATTAAATATTAATTCCAATATGCACAAATATTAGGCATGACATTTCCTTGATTGATCATAACAATTGAATAACTCCATTATAATTATGAATAGTCAACAGAAGGTAGACGAAGGATAATTCTCTCTTTTATTTTGAGAAGCATTAGAGAAATGTTATCAGCAAGTTCTTTACTATTTCATATTCATAAATTGTAGATAGACGGATGAATAATATATTAACGAAACAATTTAAAAAATAAACAAAATTACAAGTTACTGTATCAAAATATACTTTATAGATAATGTCTTTAATACACTTTTGTTTAATTAAAAAAATAATTCAAAGACAGAAAACATTATTTTTCGATTTATATATTAAAATTTCTTGCACGTTTTTACATAAAAATCAGGGCCAATATCTCATGTTTACATTGACGAATAATACTGAAAAATAAAATAAGATTGAATATCAATGTATCACGTTACCCATACACCATTATTAAGTATAATTTGAATATTCTCATTCTTAAGAAAAAAAACGAAGTGAAGACAAGGTCATGTTTTCCGCTTGAACGTTTTCTTCAAGAGTTAGTTGAAAAGTTTTTAATTAAAATAAATCTGAAAATATTTTAACATTTTATAATATTCTCAGTTACTCACTAACTACACTAAATATAATATACTGTATAAACTGAACTAGTTAATTCTTTTCCATGAAAAATATATGTCCAAGGATTGTATTATATAGAGAATTGCTGTATAAGTAAGTCATTACACGTAAGAAACATGTAAACTACTAAAAAAGTGGTATTATTTTCCGAATCAATGTTACATTGTTTTATTTTTTCTAATCAAAGATCCACAAAATTATTATCTTGCAGAATATCCTTCGTTATGAGGGGATCGGCAATTATAATAATTAAAAATTAAAAATTCAATCCAATCGAAATTATCGTTAAACAACAAAGAAAATAAAAAAATGCAGTGTTACAATGATCATAAATAAGGGCGTTCTTGCATGCATAATAAGAGATTACAAAAATTATGGATGGGACCTTGTAAATCCTTCCTTATGAGTAACCACCGGAAATCGGAATTACTATCGTGAGATATTATTTCTTTATCAAGTTAATCCGAATCATATAAAACTTTTTCCCGCATTAAACTTTTTTTTTAAAAAAAATGATAGTTAATCCTAATATGGATCATTTTCAACATAAAGTTTTGAATTAAAAATTCATTCTCACATGATAAACATTTAAAGAAATAATCAGGGTGAAATATTAACATTTTAAGGCTGTGATTTATTTATTTCTGCTATTTCTTTTGAGCACTACATACTTTTTCTTTAAAATAAATGAAATCAATCATTGAGAATTTTATAAAACCTGTCGGTCTTCGATTATCTTAAACAAATAAATATATTACTGCGCCACATAAGACTCTTTTTTTTTTTCTTCATAATATTCCTGAAAAAAAAAATTAGGTCGTTTTTTTTTTCTTCAAAAAATGGTTTTAGAAACTGGAGCAATTGCATGGATTTCATCATTCTTTTCAGCCGCTGCATGTAACCTTGGTTTTAGGTCATACCATTGCAGCAATTCTATAGCGACAAGAATTGTTTATGCAGTACGTAAAACAACAAGCTTAAAATATACTTATTATTATTATTATTAAGAATATATTTAACATAATATCATAAAATTTAGATAATCCTTTTATTGAATTCAATTGTAAGTAATATTTCATCATATATATATATATATTATACATTACTTCTGATAACGTTATTAATTTTATAATAATGATAGCTTGCATGGGTAATGATGTCTGATTGGGTTGTTAAAAAACTTGAAAAAAAAACACATAATAACTTACACTTAAATTGTCCAGAAGGAAGTTGTTTTGGAGTTTTAACGGTAAAATCAATTTGATCAAAATTTTCTTTTTAAATTCAAAATTTTATTTTAAATAACGCTCATGTGCTGTATTGATTTAGGTTCATCGAGTTTGTTTTGCGCTTTCATTATTACATTTTATCTTGGGAATTTTAGTTATTGGAGTTAAAGATATTCGTAATCCTAGGTCAACAATTCAAAATGGGTAAGTGTTGGTTAGAAATCATATTCGTTTCTTAACAAATATATTACTTATCATCCTTTATGTAGATGGTGGGGACCTAAAATATTATTATGGATAGGCTTTATAATCGGTTCATTCTTTATTCCAAATGAATTTTTTATGGCCTGGGGAAATTATATTGCGTTAGTCGGAGCTGCATTATTTATTCTTGTCGGTTTAATTCTCTTGGTAGATTTTGCACATACATGGAGTGAAAAATGTATGGACAAAGATGATCAATCTAAAGATAATAAATGGAAGGTAATTCTTGTTGGGTCAACACTTTTGATGTTCGCTGGTGCGATTGCGATGACATCAATAGTATACGTATTTTTTGCCAAATCAGGATGTTCACTTAATCAATTTTTTGTTACATTGAATTCCATATTATGTGTCATTGGAACTTTACTATGTATACATCCAAAAATTCAAGAAGGAAATCCTCGTTCAGGGTTACCACAAGCATCGATGGTAGTAATTTATTGTGCTTATTTAATATTAAGTGCAGTGGCAAATGAACCTAAAACTGAAACTAATGGTGAAAAAGTTGCAGCACATGATATGTGTAATCCATTATCTTCACATAAAACACGTAAAACATCAATTATTATTGGGGCTTTATTCACCTTTATCGCCATTGCTTATTCAACTTCAAGAGCTGCGAGTCAAGGAAGATTATTATTAACAAATAGTTCTTCCACTAAGGATTATAAATATCGCCGTGTCAACAATGATGATGTTTCCGATATGATTCCTTTGACGAGTAACGAACCCAAAGATGAACCATCACTACCAATATCAAAAAATTATTCTCAAATAACCATGGATTCCGTTCAAAAAGAGTAAATAAATTAATCGATTAATTTTTTTTTATTAGCGTGATTTTTTGATATCTTAAAATTATTTTGTTATTTTTATTAGAATTCTTCCTCCATCAGCCTTGGACGAAGAAGCGGATTATCCCATGGATGATGAAGACTATGATGTTAATTATAATTATACATTTTTCCATTTTATATTTGCAATTGCTGCCATGTATGTTGCTATGTTATTAACAGACTGGTAAGTTGACGCTATTATTTTAAATATTTTTTTTTTTCTTTTTTAAGAAAGTTATATAATAACCACTTTTTTTTTTAGGAACACTTTTACAATGACAGGCAATGAGAAATTAGTCGTTATTGGTCGAAGTCATACAATTGTTTGGGTTAAAGTTATCTCAGGATGGGTTTGCTTTTTATTATACTATTGGTCTTTGGTCGCACCTGCTTTATTTCCTGAAAGATTTGCCGTAAGTATATTTTATTTTTCGTTATACTGTACGTTATACGATTACGCTAAATTAAAAATTATTTATTTATTTTTTTTAGGATTATTATTTATAAATTACATTTCCGTGTTTCGAAATATAATCGGCTATATTTATGTTATTTGATAAAATTATTTTTATCTCAATGAAACGTTATTATTTAAAAGAAACTTTTCTGCATTACGTAGGTATTATAGAAATCGATTATTTAAAAATTTTAACTTATTGTATTTTATAAAAAAAAATTGAAGCCATAGAATTTTTTTATTTGTCTTTTTTTTTTTTATTAGTCTATTGGGAACAAAAAATTAATTGTACGAAAATAAATAAATGAAATAAGACAGTTTAAATTATTAAATTAAATTAGATGATGTCTGATATGATAAATTAATTAATCATGCTTGTGATGATGACGATAAAGATATTGAATAATAATCAAATTATATTCATTCCCGTTTTAATGAAATTACCAATTAATTTCTCACTCTTAATATAAATTCTTAAGTTTTAACTGCTGCAAATTATATAAACACCATCATTATTTAATCATAAACTAACGTCATCAATACTAGACATTACGAGAGATATATGTAAACAAAGAAGATCTTTTTTTAATTAAATTGGCTTTATCGTATAAATAAATATAAAGTAAATTCATCTTAGTAAATGTAACCAAACAAATGTAATAAGCGTATAAGTCGAAAACTTTATAATCTAATAAAATAATACGTTAATACAGTAAGATAGAAAACCGTTTTACGTTTACGATCACTTAACGCTTGTGTAACAATAGACTCACGTTATACGTAAATTTTGGCTATTGGATCCGATGTAGAATTAGCTCGGAATGTAATGACGGCAGAAGTCATGAGTCATGGATCCGGATGATTACAAATGATTATAAATCAAAAAATTCCAATCGGAAGCCTGAAACAATGTGGAACTAGGGGCGAAAACTAGTAAAACCCGTAAATTTTCAGCAATTGTGTAATCAAATATTATTAGTTTATGCATAATATTTTTAACCAGTTGCGGTTAGCCACAAGTCATATTACAAATTTATTACAAATCCTTTTTATAATGTTTAGAAAAATTAATCAATGAATGCAGCTTGCAAATCTTGATTGAAAAATAAGTTCAAATAGTTTTACAATCCTTCTAGTGGATATCCAAAAAAAAAAAATTTTTATTTTCCAAATAAAATTTTGAAATAATTTTTTTTTCAAAAATAATAAAATAGGTAAATAATGTCAAATTATGATGAATATGATGAATGTAAAAGATGTGGAAAATATGTAAATTCTGGATGGTGTAAATTATGTCAAATTAATGATTTAAGAAATAATTTTATAAATTGGACAAGTGAAAATGAAAAAATTAATAATTTAATTCAAGAAATGCAATTAAAAATTTTTTATTATTATGATATAATAATTGAATGGATACCATATGATCAATTTAATATTATTAAAGAAATAAAAAAAGATAAATGTTTTATAATATATTCAGCAATTTGGAAGGATGGTATATTAAAATATGATAGAAATAAACATGAATATTTAAGAAATCAAAATATAAAAATCAATTTAAAATCTTTACATAACTCACAAAATATTACTAATGAATTTTTAAATGAGGTACTATACATTTCTTTATTTACTATTAATTTAAATAATTTAATATAATAAGTATATAACTTATTTTTATTTTTAATAGATTAATACGTGTTTTAATGGTGATTACCTATTTGGTATATCTCAAAATTCAGAAACAAAAGATTATATTCTGGTTCTTCAAAATTTATATTGTAATAAATGTAATAACCGTTTTATAGATGAATATGATATGTGGTGTAAATCATGTCAAATAAATGATTTAGAAAATAATTTTATAAATTGGACCAGCGGAAATGAAAAAATTGATAATTTAATTCGAGAAATGCAATTAGAAATTTATAATTATAATGATATTATAGTTGAATGGATATCATATGATCAGTTCAATGATATTAAAGAGTTAGGAAAAGATGAACTTACTACTACAATATATTCGGCAATATGGAAAGATGGTTCATTGAATTATGATGAAAATAAATATGAATATATAAGAAATCAGAATATAAAAGTTAATTTAAAAAGTTTTCATAATTCTCAAAATATTACTAATGAACTTTTAATTGAGGTATAAAATTTCTTCTATTTAATTTACCGTATATATACTTAAAAAAAATATATATATATATTTATTGATTTTTTATCGTATTTAATTCTAATTAGATTAAGACATATTTTAACGGTGAAAATCTATTTGGAATATCTCAAAATCTAGAAACAAAAGATTATATTTTAGTTCTGCAAAATATATATTGTGATAAATATGGTAAATATTTTACTGATAAAAACAATAAATGGTGTAAATCATGTCAAATTAATGATTTAGAAAAGAATTTTACAAATTGGACAATGGTAATGAAAAAATTGATAATTTAATTCGGAAAATTCAATTAAGAACTAATTATTATAATGATATAATAGTTGAATGGATACCATATGATCAATTCAATAATATTAAAGAGTTAGAAAAAGATGAATTTACTACAATATATTCAGCAATATGGAAGGATGGTCCATTAAATTATATTATGGAATACTATGACTATACAAGAAAACAGAATAAAAAAGTCAATTTAAAATGTTTACACAACTCACAAAATATTAATAATGAATTTCTAATTGAGGTATGAAATATAATATAAATTTGAATATAAATTTGATTTAAAATTTAATATGCAAATAATAACTTCGTTCTTTTTTTTGATTTTAATAGTTTAATAGATATTCAACAAGATTTTATAGTTACAATAAATTTAAAATATTTGGAATATCTCAGAATCCTGATATAAAAGATTATATTTTAGTTCTTCAAAATGTATATTGTGACAAATGTGATAAATGCTTTACAGATAAATATGGTATATGGTGTAAATCGTGTCAAATAAATGATATAGAAAAAAATATTACAAATTGGACTAGTGGAAATGAAAAGATTGATAATTTAATTCAAGAAATGAGGTTAAAAATAAATAATCCATATGATATAGTATTTGAATGGATCCCATATGATCAGTTTTATGATATTAAAGAGTTAGGGGAAGATGAATTTGCTACAATATATTCAGCAATATGGAAGGATAATCCATTACAATATTAATAAATATAAATTTCATACGAAAAAGCAGAATAGCAAAGTCAACTTAAAATGTTTATACAATTCACAAAATATTACTAATGAACTTTTAAATGAGGTATGAAAACTTTCATAAATTTAATCCAAATACTTTTAATATTATATAACTGAATTTTACTTATCCATATTTAGGTTAGGACATATTCAATTAGAAATCATAAAGATAATAACCCTAAAATATATGGAATATCTCAAAATCCCGATACAAAAAACTATGTTATAGTTCTTCAAGATGTATATTGTGATAAATGTATTAAATATTTTACAGATCAATATTATAAATGGTGTGAATCATGTCAAATCAATAATTTAAAGGAAAATTTTACAAACTGGACCAGTGGAAATGAAAAAATAGATAATTTAATTCAAGAAATGCAATTAAAAATAAATAAATCATATGATATAATATTTGAATGGATACCATACAATCAATTTTATAAAATTAAAGAAATAGGTAAAGGTGGTTTTGCTAAAGTATACACAGGATGGTCCATTAATTTATAATTATAATAATTATGAATATACAAGAAGTCAGAATAAAATAGTTGCTTTAAAAGCTTTATATGATTCCCAAAATATTTCAAGTCAATTTCTGAATGAGGTATGAAATTTTCTGTAAATTTAATTTAATATATTATTAATGTAATAATTTTTTTTCATATTTTAATAGATTAAAGTATATTCAATTGAAAATCATAAAGATTATTTTAGTAATAAAATACTTAAAATATATGGAATATCTCAGAATCCAGATACAAAGGAACATACTATGATTCTTGATTATGCAAAAGGCGGAGATTTTAATTATTGGATGATTAAAAATTATAATGATTTTAATTGGTCAAGAAAATTAATTATATTATTTAATATTATTAGAGGTCTTGAAAAAATTCATCAAAAACAAATGGTTCATCGTGATTTCCATACAAGAAATATATTATTAAATGATATTAATGTTAATGATTACATGAATGACAGTATTATACATATTTCAGATATGGGATTATGTGGTGAAGTTAAGAATATCGATCACAATGATAATATTTATGGAGTTATACCTTATGTAGCTCCTGAAGTGTTAAAAGGAAAACCTTATACTCAAGCATCAGATATTTATAGTTTTGGTATGATTATGTATTTTGTGGCAACTGGAAAACAACCCTTTGACGATTGTGCACATGATGAGTTTTTAGTATTAAACATCTGCAACAAAATTAGACCTGAAATAATTAATGAGCTGGAAGCACCAAAATGTTACCTTGATTTGATGAAAAAGTGTTGGGATTCAAATCCAGATAATAGACCAAAAGCAACTGAAATTTTAAAATTTATTCGTTTATTTATTGACTCATATAAATATGATAGTCAAAATTTACATCATGAAATTTCAAAAGTACTACTTTAGCTCATCCACAAGCTATTTATAAATCTCGATTACTTAATTCTTTTACAAAAAATCTTCCAAAATATGATGATAATATTAACAGTAAATACCATAGAAGTTATTGATTTTACAAAGTAAGTCATAAATTTATTATATTTGATCATTATAATATTTAATCTGAATCTTAATTCTTTATGCAGATTATCAATCAAAGATGATACCAATGAATAAAAGAATCAAATTTATTTTTAGTGTGACAAGTCTTTAATTTGAAAATAACCTATAGCATTACTACATTAATTATTCATTCTTGTTTTATATATTTTGAATTTTGGAAAATTAAATTAACGCATGCAAGTCATGAGAATTTACGATTTGATTTTCTTGCCTTATCATAAATTTAATTAAAAAATTTCTTTTATTATAAAATAGCTAAAAAATAAATAAATAAATAAATAAAACCAAATATAAATTCACTTGTTAAAATAAAATAAAATAAAAATACTATGCGATAAACCACGTGATAAAAATTCATGTGATCCATAATGTATACTTAGAGCATCCTTATCCTGGGCCACGGTCCAGATGCTTATCCTGGACCAGGAAATCTAATTGGATGAGATTGTTTTGTGTAACATTTGTCTTAAAAAAAAAAACAATTCGCGTTTTTTTTAAAAAAAAAGTTACGAAATGCCTTTTTTTAAAGCATTTAATACTACCGTTTTAAAGTAATATGTTATTTGAATTTTGTATTTTGGTATGCATTTTATTAAACTTTATTAATAAATAAGTAAAATTGCATATATAACTTTATAAAAAAGGTCTTTACATTATTTTTTACTGTAATTTTATTATTAAAATTATTTTAACGTTAATATCAAAACAAAAGTACAAAGTAATAGTATTATATTAGCTTTAAAAGTTTTGTTATAAATGTGTAATTTACAACCTTTTTTGAACAACTTTGCTTAACCCCAAAACTTAAAAAAAAAACACTTGATTTCCAGAATAATATCAATATATCATAAAACTCTTCAAAAAGAAAATAAAAAACATTTAGTATTATCATAAAACTACAATAAATACAATTAAAATTAAAATATACAAACTGAAATGAAATATGAAATACTAAGTACTAACATACCACAAAAAAGAATAGAGAAAGAGTGAAAGATAGGAAGAGATAAAATAAATTATGCCGGAGTTATGTAATAAAAGGGCTGATTAGCCAATCAAAAGTTGACTGGTCCAGAATAAGCATCTGGACCGGTGGATCAGGTTAAGGATGGCCGTATACTTATAGTAGCGGAACCAATTAAACTGTGAGAACGTGACCTAATGTCACCGGGTCTAAAATCCTAGTCGTTCCGCTCCGGATAATCATAATTCATAACTTCATTTATAATATACACGTGGTAGTATACACCCTAAAAGCAACACTACTTTAAATATGAAAATAAGTAATTATCATAAGTGCGAAATTAATTGTAATCTCTATATAGAATGAAAAAAAAATTGTAAATAAAATTTCCTTGAAAAAATTTCATAAAAAATTATTAAAATTTCCACATACTCTGTATCTGCAAGATAACGGAATATTTAATTTCTATAGTTTTATAGATAATTGAAACTAGTGACTAGTTTTAATGCGTTTTCCTAATTTAAATATTTAAAATTTGATTAAAATAAAAATTAAACGTTAACGTAAGCATTAAAACAAAAGAACAAATAATTAAAATAACATCGAGCCAGATAAATATTTACCACTATTGTCATAGTAAGTATTGATGTTTAAAAATACTTCATTTTTTCTTTTTGAAGAAGTTGAAAAATTTTGACCTACAGAACTTAAATTCTGTGTCGATAAACTAAATAAAAAAAACCAATGAATTTAATAATTAGTTGTGTCTTTTCAAACCATTTTTTTATTGTTACATTAAATACCTTTTAGTATCTATATCAAGCTCTAATTCTGCCGAGATATAATTAGAATCTGAAGTGGTTGAATAATTTCGAATCGTAGAATTTAAATTTTGTGACGATAAACTAGTAAAAAATTAATAAATTAAAATAATTTAATTGTGTCTTTAAAATCTTTTTTTTTTATTGTTATTTTAAAATACCTTCTAGTATTAATTATTTTACGCATAATAACAAATTTTCTTATTATAATAGGTTAAAAGAAATCATTTGTATGGAATATCTCAAGATCCTTATACAAAAAATTATATTATATTATTTCCGGATGGATTTTATTGTATTAAATGCGGTAAAAAATTTACAGATATTTGTTTTAAATGGTGTAAATCATGTCAATTAAATACTCTAGAAAAAAATTTTACAAATTGGACCAGTGGAAATGAAAAAATTGATAGTTTAATTCAGAGAAAGCAATTAGAAATTAATAATTGTCATGATTTTATAATTGAATGGATATCATATGATAAATTTGATGATATTAAAGAGTTAGAAAAAGATGAATTTGCTACAATATATTCAGCAATATGGAAGGATGGTCCATTACGATATGATAGTAATAATTAATAAACGTGGATATTCAAGAAAACAAAGTAAAAAAGTCAATTTAAAATTATATAGCTCACAAAATATTAACAATGAATTTTTAAATGAGGTATAAATTTCTTTATTTAACTCAAATATTTTACGAATAATAACAAATTTTTTATTATATTAGGCTAAGGTATATTTTGAAAGAAATCATTTATATGGAATATCTCAAAATCCTTACTCAAAAAATTATATTATGTTATTTTCGTATAGATTTTATTGTAATAAATGTGGTAAAGAATATACTCTAAAAAAAATTTATAAATTGGACCAGTGGTAATGAAAAAATTGATAGTTTAATTCAGGAAAAGCAATTAGGAATTAATAAATATGATGATATTATAATTGAATGGATATCATATGATAAGTTCGATGACATTAAGGAGTTAAGAAAAGATGAATTTTCTACAATATATTCAGCAATATGGAAGGATGGACCATTACAATATGACAGAAATAAACGTGAATATTCAAGAGAACAGTCAATTTAAAATCATATAACTCACAAAATACTATTAATGGATTTCTAAATGCCCCTATAAAAATGAAATGTGTTAAATTTGTGTTCATGTGTAAAAAACGTCCAAAAAAGCACCATTTTGTCCGATTTATGTCTTATTAATAAAAAACAAAAATTAAACAAAATGGTGCTTTTTTAGACATTTATTACACATGAGCACAAATATTAAACAAATTTAACTCATTTCGTTTTTATAGGGTATGAGGTATTAATTTTTTATTTAATTTAAATACCCTTTTAATAAAATAATAAATTTTCTTTATTTTATTAGGTTAATAATATCTCAAAATCTTTATACAAAAAATTATATTATATTATTTTCGTATAGAAATTATTGTAATAAATGCGGTAAAATTCTAGATAATGATTATAAATGGTGCAAACCATGTAAAATTAATGATTTATTTGAAAATAATTTTACAAACTGGACTAGTGGAAATGAAAAAATTGTCAATTTAATCCAGGAAATGCAATTGTTACACGAATTTTTGTGCATGTGATTTCCGATATTGTATGATGATCCGATGAAATTTCGGTACATTTGTGTACACTGTAATGCCGTAGTATACATAGTAAATTTATTAATTGTGAGGCGCAGTATTATATTTAATCTTAGTATATAAAATTTTAGTTTATTTTTATTTTTTTTAGTTAGACCGAAAAGTCGTTAAACTATTGATCAGGTGATTCAAGGATAATTGGTCCGAGATGACATTAAACTATCAGTCACATTTAAGGATAAATAAAGATCCGAAAGATACTAAATTAAATGAAGTCAAGTGATCTGAGGTGTCAGGTGACTAATTTGCTGATCATTACGTTAGTATTATAAATCATAATTCAGGAGGTCACGATGATCAAATGGATACAGAATTAAGATGATGGAAATACTTTGAAATAATGGAAATACTTTGATAATTTAAATCCATGAACCGAAATTATGAATTTTTGGTTACACGAAAACAAATATAAAAGGGCGTGAAGATCACCTTTTGAGAAGGACATTATTCTTGGACGAATTTCGATAATGAATTATTTATTAGTTATTTAATGTTATTAAACCAAGCATATTATTGTATTTATTTATATTATTAATAAAGAGTCATTTTGTTAATACCTGAGGTGGCAAACATAATTCTCTATGGGCTCAGGTGTTACAAGTGGTGCATGCTCCGAGAAAGGAAAGTGATCATCCTCACATGATCACTACAGGTTATAAGTACAGGATCTCTGAGAAAAGAAAATGATCACCCCCACGTGATCATTAGAAGTTACAAATAAAGGATCGACGAAGTTAAGGAATTATAAAATTAAAAGTTCTAAGTCTTGGTTAAAAAAGAATTTAAGG